CCACCCCTTCGCCACGGCTTTAACCCATTGAGTTCTGCTCCAAACGATTGAGTTCTGGCGGATCTATCATTATTCCCTGGCGCGCTCCCCCTTGCGTCGGCCGGGGTCGGCGGATTTTGACCCATTTGGACATTTCTGTTCCTCTTTCCCAGCGCTTGATATCGTGCTAGACAGAAGGACGCAGAAAGATGCAGTGTTCAATGAAAGAAGGCCGCTGTCGCTACCTGTTGATGTCACGGGTCACCAGCAAGATAGGGTCAAACGTGGAATCCAAGCAAGAAGCTACTCGTAGCTTCTTGCTACTAGTAGCGATGGCCTCCAACCTACCTAATAGCGATGTCCTCCAACCTAGTAGCTCCTTGCTACTAGTAAGGTGCCTTGTTACTAAGCCTAAGCTTGAGAAGCGATCTGAGGCTTCTCATATCTAGCAACTTGGCTCAACGCTGCTGTCCCGCACATGCCTACAAACCAAGAAATACTAACTAGGTCCACGGCAGATATTGCGCCGTGTGTCAAATCAAAGGTGGCATTGTCAACGTGTTTGTTTTCCATTGGTTTTAACAGTACCAAACACAGATTTCACGGGACACATTATTTTATTCTAATTTTTTCGTACTTCCATTGGCGTTAAGATGTGGAAGCTTATGGCCACTGCTTTTCATGTCAGGAAACGTGATTTTGAAAACCCCGGAACTACTTTCAACCTGCATTGAAGACATATGTTTCTGTTACAGTTACATCTAGTAACATGCACATCCCCAAATCTACGTTTCTGGTCAAGTGGAAATTTATGTCCCAAGCAATCAGTTGGTAGTCTCTCCTTCCTACTGCGGACCAACGGGTGTAGTGGGTTGACTCGACCTCACGCTCCTACCTGGAACTAAACAACTTGATGGTCAAGGACACATCCGCCCCGCCGAGTTTCAAGCAAACTTTCACTTCTGCAGGGAGACCAGTGCTTGTCAGCAACTCTTCTGGATTCAGTGGCCCAAGGCTTTGCCTGCCACTGTTCATGTCTCCTTCGCGCTGTCTCCTTAACCTACGGTTCAACATAAGACTTGGACCGATACAAAACTGCGACCCGAAACCACACGGCGCAATAGTATCTTCATTGCATCAATATTCCAGATATGCACTTGCCAGTAGATCTGCATGGGGACGGCTTTCAAGGATGCAGTGTGATTTCAGATTGGGCCGCAACCAATTTTGTCGGATCCTTGTTAGCCCATACATAGATAAATAAATCCGATCCCAAAAATAGACAAACATATTAATATACACTCACATACAGATTGCTACCAGATTTGGGGTGAGGCCGTGATGAGCAGCAGCATCAACGCTGGCCAATGGCAGGAGACTTTCCATCTTCTCCGAGAGGCGGGTTCGAACTACGTTCTGATGGGCCTAGAGACTGACCCGGGTTGTTTGCTCTGATGGCTTGGCATCAACCATCAACCCTGCAACCAGCTGCATAGCCGGAGGTGAGTGAGGTGAGTTGATCGAACCTCGCGGGACGCCTTTGTTCCTGGAAACAGTTCACACCGACAGGCTCAAACAGGCTCAGACATGGGCAAGTTGCGGCAAGCATCAAAGTAGCTGACCATGAAACGGAACATTTGATGACCAAAACAAGTAGCCAACTCGTGACCAGGCCGAGCGCAGGAACTTTCAGGCTGGTTGGGACTGGGAGTGATTTGGATCGGATGGTTTGTGGCAATTGCCTGTAGCATTCTGAAACTAAGCATGTTAAAGAGAGCCAGGAAGAGGACATGATGCCCTTGCGGAACACGGTGATCAGTGCTTGTGGTCGATCTGAAAATTGGTCGCTCGACACATTTCAGCAGTAGAGCATGGGTGCAAGCCTTGGCTGGCATTTGAGTGAACTCTAACAGGCAGTAGCACCAGCCCTTGCTCTTGAAGGTCTCACGAGGAACAGACTATCACGCACCAGGCATCGCGTTGATACAGCGAAAATCAATTATCTACGATATGCGCAATAGTATCTGTCTCTCTCTCTCTCTCCATCTATCTCGCACGTAAAAACGTGGACATGAATACTGTACAGATGCACACGTGTTCATGAGACATATACATTTGACCTGCCATCCACTCCTCCAAAACTCAGCCACTCTCGGCGTTCGGCTGTCGCAAGAGGCATACCGTATGCCAACGATTCAGTTTAGATTATATAGATGAGATAAGTACTTGGAGTTTCTGTTGAGGATAAATAAGGTGATGCATTGCCCTGTGTATGAGCCAAGCGACATCCTATCTATGACCAACTTGTATGAGAGCCAAGACCGTAAGATTGACATTTGTGCACTTTTGTTTCACTTTCATGATTTATGTCAACCAGGTCCAGCGTCACTTATGGCACCGAGGATGGAGGCCTTTGCCCTGGCGAACGACCTGGCCGAACGCCAGGCCCGGCTGTTCGCATCCCCCCCAGCGTCATGGTGTGAGATGGCGGAACTGCGAGGAACCGCCGGGAAGCGCATGTCGCTGCTAACCCCCCAACCTACCCCAAGCGGCAACTTGTTTCATCCGCTTCATGCTTGCGACCTGTCAGGTGTCCCTGAATTTGGTGACATACAACACTCTGCTCGACATCTCCAGCAAGTCTCTTCCGTGGCAGCTACTCAGATCATGTCAGAGACCCTTCTCTCTTGCAAGCACCTGGTGGTGGTCAAAGACCTAAAAACCCTAAAAACCACCTCAAGCAAAAGAAAAAGAATTGTCCTCTCAGAGACCCGGCCCGGTCCTTTGCCGGTGGATGCCTTGTTGCGCTTGGTTCAGGTCAAGTCTTCAAATCTTTAGCCAACTACGGGCGAAAGGTTTGGAGGCGACAAAGTGCCATTGCAAGCTCAGTCACGAAGCCACATTCAGGATTTGAACATTCTTGAGAGGCAGCTCGTCTTCCACGCAATTTGAAGTGCCACCTTGTTCTATTGTTTTGTCTGCTGGAGCACGTAGGAGGGAGTTGAGACAGTGCAACATGTATCCCTACTACCCGGTTTGGAGGGTTACAGTACGGCTTAGGAGAGTTGAAACTTAACATGCACTGTAAACCCTGCTGCCTTTTCTAGCTGTCTCGGACAAGCACGGGATATTTGTCTTCCCAAAGTATCAGCTAGGGAAAGAAACGTAGTGTGATCAGTTGCTGTGATTTAAGTTTCTACAGAAAGGATTGCGTACGGCCTTGTTTCCGAGTGCTGTTTACGTGTCCTGGGCCGTGCGGCCCTGCTTGGAGACTGACGTCATCACCCACAACTCCCTCATCAACGCCATGGCCGCAGCTTGGTCTTATCGCAACCACACGAAATCAAAAGTTGACATGCTTTTCTTCTCTGTGAATAGTGCATAGCTCCTAGAGTCAAATCCTTTCGCACCTGATTAGATTGAGGAACACGGCTGTTTTTGGTGATCCATTGGTTCAGGCCAACAAGCAATGGCAACTGGCTTTTGTTCTCCTCAATGAACTCCAGGCGGCTTTTGTGTGGGACATACAAAAACCAGCTGGAGGACCTTGTGAGTCAATACTCCCACTATAGTAGCCTTCGATAGAAAAAGGCCCTCTGAGTCAACTCTACAAGTTGAGTCAACTATTGATCCATTGTGCCAAATGGCTTGAAACTGATGCTCTTCTTCTCCTTGAGTCATCCGCGATAAAGACAGATTTTACGTTTTTGAGAACAACTAAAGGGGTAGGGGTGCAACATCAAAATGTAGGTTTCAGCTCAAGAACGATCATGCGCCATATTTGAGTTCATTTTTCTTTGCAATCAACTTGGACTGTCCATCGTGTGTTTTGCCACCCGAATGCAGAGGCACAAGACCTGGAAGTGGATGCTGTCGGCCACCTGCTTGAATACCTTGGAAGTACCATCAGGGTTGCTTGAACACCTGCACTATTTGTGCTGAGGATACTGTTTGGGCATCTAGAGGCCAAGTTATGACCAGTAAGAGCTATTCCCCATCTATTTCTTGGATCAAGAATGCAGACCTGCTTGATCGGGGTGGTGGGGTTTCCAGGGCCCGGCCCATCGATTTTTAGTGGAAAGAAGCAGTTTGACGCCCGCAACTAATCCATTGAGTGGTATCGATGCTAATGATACAGTAAAATCGATGCTGCTTTGGTTGATCTATCAAGTTGCTTGTTTCTACTATAACGGATTTTCCAAGGTTGTCAGAGGGGCAGGTATGACAAGACCCTTTTGCCCAACGTGTGGGCACAGTGCAGACGGTTGAGGCGTGAGCACGGCCCTTGATGCCTACATGAAAACACTGGAGTGAGATCAGCCGCTGGAAAGATACAGTCACCACTGCAGTGCCTTGGTAGCACATGGGCTCTTGAGACCGCAGACCATTCTCAGAACTTGGATGAGAAATCATTTGACGCACCATTGTTGAACAAATTTGTATATATAGCAGAATAGACGAAGGTCGCTGAGGTAGGCCCAATTTTTTTGAAGGGCTCGAACCGATTGTCAATAGTCACCACAATGCTCTTTGGTGAGTTGAATCAGAGGCTGAGTGGAGTCCTTATAAAATCCCTGACAAGACCCGAATGACACTGCTTGATTCAACGACAGGGACACGAGGACCAGGAGCACTGACTTCCAGTCTCCAGTGTCGAGTCTCGATCGCCATTTCGGCCATTGGCCGTTGGAAGCCCCTAGTAGCGTCCTTGCTCCTAGTAGCGATGCCCTTTGTTTCTAATAGCTTCTTGTTACTACTAGTAAGGCACTTGATACTACTAGTAAGGCACTTGTTCCTAGTAGCGTCCTTGCTCCTAGTAGCGATGCCCTTTGTTACTAGTAGCTTCTTGATCAAGAGGTTGCGACCATTGGGCTCTCTTCTTAACGCCGATTCATGTGACAACACACCTGGTGGTTGAAAACTACACACGGGAAGGAATCAAAACATTCGAGACGCATTTGGTGGATATGCTTATCCAGATTTCATTTGTTTGTGCCATGAAAGTCCCAAGGCCAAGCAAGCCAAACCTAGATTCTTTGCAGAGCTGTCAGGGTCTTAGTCACAAAACCTGGGCTGTATCGTGTTGTGTCCAATTTGAGCGATATTTCGATGTCCATGCTTTTGAGGCTGGAACGGAACTCACTCACACAAGCAAGAGTTCTGGGACGTCCATGGAGTACAAGATAGTACAAGCAAAGGCAGTCGTCCAAGGGCGAGGACGTCACAATGTCGGCTATAAGAGACGTGTGGCTCCTGGACACTGGCGAAGGTCTGCGAACGTCTGGGGGTGGAGCACATCTTTCGCGATCCACCAGGTCTTTGCATGGACGCCGAGAGATCCGAGGTCGGTCTTATGGATCCTACGAATTGAACGACAATAAACGGTGGTGCACAGATTGCGTGGTCTGTCTGGTACCCCGAGAGATGGAATCCTTTGGAGAAACGGTCGAGCGTGGAAAAAGAATGAGCGCCAGAGGCCATTGGAGGAGGTGGCGTTCAAGGGTTCAGAGATCTCTTACTGGGTTACTGGGGGTAAGGCAAGCAGTCCGGAATTAAGTTCCGACTTTTCTAAATCGGCGTTCTATGGTGCTTTATATACTATCATCCCACATGAAATAATGTACTGCACAAACTTCAACGGGCGCCAGCGCCAGTAGCTGCTTGTTTGGCCTTAGCCGATCGGCCCAAAGCAATCCCCAACCTTTGATGGAATTTGCAGGATGGTGATCCAAAATGTACCTTAATCCAGTGACCTGAGAGGGCAAACAAGGCTCACATAGTTTTTTTTCTTCAATTTTTGCAGATGTTTGGATAAGGGATTTGACAGAAAGTGCAACAAAACTAATAGAAAACCCTTCGCCGCGCGTCATCCTCCAAGCGCATCTAGACGAATGTCGTTACTCCCCTACCTCCCCCCCCACCCCGCCATTTTGTAACTTTGCATGTGGCATCATCGTGGTTCTGCAGACCCTACGCAACAACATCTTCGGACCAAAACATGCACAAAAGTCCACGACCAAGTATCAACGCGCCTCCCCAGTGGCCCTACAGGTGTCTGGAAACACCTCAAATGCATGCAAATGCCACATGATATTGGCCTCAAAAACAACAAAAGCATACGGCGGTGACGGGGCGTCACCCCAAAACATGTGATATGCAGGTATGCAACTGTTTTTTACAGAAAATCTTTTTGGAGAGCCAGATTGGAGCAAGCAATGCCCAGCCAAGTTTGCAATGATTGGTATGGAGTTGGTCCAGTAAGTACCGGTCAAACCTCCAAAAGAGTATGTACTCGATGCTGTTGCGTCACTCTCCTTGCATTTTTCAACCTATGCTAGCTTTCGTCACCAACCCCCGGCCTCAAGTGTGACTTATGCGGCTTATCACGAAAGCTACTGTAGCACCAGCTAGCTGGAGTTTTTCTTGCTTTAGCAAGTGAGGGGCTGGAATCCTCGAGACGTGTGTATTTCCGCTGGCAGGGCCGGGGGCTGACTTTCCCTGTGGCGGCAGGATTTGGACCCACTTATCAGTCGGATATCTCCCGCTTCACCCCTGCCCTGCTAGCTTTCGTCATCAACCCTCGGCCTCAAGTGAGCTTTTGCCTTTTGCCTCAGGAGTGCTGGACTGCTTAGCTTTCCCGAAGGGGTCCGCAAATTTCAGTGTTTCGTCCGGCAGAGCTGATTAACCACACAAAGACGCAAGCCCTAAAGGCACCCAAACACGACTTGTCCACCACTCAAGTACTTAATTAGTTTCGTCTCATGAAGTCTGACCTGCAAAGTTCCCTAGGCCGAACGCCGAACCTTCCTGCATTGGCAGCCTGCAGAAGCACAAAGTCTTAAAGTGCGTTGTGTGCGCCACGCAGGTAACAGCATTCTGGCTGATCTTCGTCCTAGATCTCGCCTTGTATGGCCGGATGCCCAGAACAGCGTAGGATACAGGCATACAGCATACAGGCAAGTATTATATACAGTTGTAAAGAAACACATTGTCTTCAACCGATGGGAACCAGTTGGCAGTCTTGCGCAAGCTGCTTTTAAGAATGGGACTATGGACTATGGCTGACTACAGATGTGAACCAGCGGAAGCACTGCATTTACGGCCAAGGGATTGTCGCCACGGATGTGAGCGTTTGATGACAAGTTGAAGTTCATATATATATATATGTTTATTATATATAATATAATACACACTGATTTGGACAGGTGATTCTTTCAATACTATTACATAAGGTGCTTCATAAAGCAGCCGTGTGCTACATCCACATTGATGGTGCTTTTCCAATCAAAGCTAGATACTGTACCGTAAATCTTCATTCGAGAGCAAAGTTGTTTATGACTCCCCTCGCCAATTGTTTTACCTGCAGCTCAGTCTTTTGCAGGTTTTTGTTTGTGCGCAGACACACGCTACGTGGAGGCAGACTCAAAAAACTCAGCATCATGTTTAGTGCTGGAGCTTTCAGGGGCTGACACGAATTGAGCAGTTTTTTCTCTGCTGCATATCAAAATGACTACCAAAGATGATCACAAGGTCTGCAATGGACGGGATCACTTTGATGCATGTCATTCCATAATTTTGTGCTTCATTGGAGAGGCCCTGCCTGGGATGCCTGACAGCTATCCGGATGTGGAGTCAGTGACACGGAGTGACCCAGAGGTTGCACTTGCTTTTCTCTAACCCGACATCCCATGTAAGCCACATGATGGGTTGACGGAAGTTTCAAGGTGTCCAACTTAGTGTCTTCTGCTTCTTTGCTGAACATGAATCAGTGATGGCGTCATAGTCTTCGGCCCTTCAGTGCTTTTCAACCTCCTTGTCATTATATCACTCTCTGTGGTGGAGTGTCTTGTCAAAGAGCTACAATGCTTAGTCAAGATTCTTTAAAGAAATGCTGCTAGAGCAATTGAGGCATGTGAGCTACGGCAGAAGGGTGCGACAATCGACTCTGGAAGTTCAAGTAGATGTCCTTGTCATCCACACTTCGACTCACTACTTGTAGCATGGAAGCGGACAATAACTGGAAAGAATTTGCTCTACCAACAGGTGGTTTACCATGGCCTTCCACTTCCATGTGATGTCACTTTGACGTCAGTCGCTAAGGCCGCGCAGGTGCGATGACTGCTGCACAGATGTGTCTGAAGCTAGAGACCCTCGACTCATCTCAACACGACCGCCGTATCGGTCAATGGGCTGACTCGACCTAAATGGATTGGTTCAAGAGGAAAACCCTCAAACACATATAAATATATATTATAGGGGTTTCCGGTACCAACTCTGGGAGCCACTGAGCATTGGGAAGTTTTACCTGTTTGGGGCCATTGTTCTCAAAACACCAGATTTTCTCTCTTGCGGAAATTCACTTTTGGATTTTCTCTACCGCGTGCTGACATTTTGTTGCAAGTCAGTCAGGGAATTGAATGGCTTCCGGAAGAAGCTTTTCAGTCCTCGTGAAGCTTTTTTGCTAACTCTCCAGAAGATGAAGCAAGTGCAGTTGAACCTCAAGATATCTCAATCAATGTTTCTTATACTTTCAGACACCCAAGCTTTCAGGGGTAGACGGTCTATGCAGCTGTTGAACATGTGCCGAGAATCTCGCGCCGTTTGAGGTGAAGCATTGCCAAACATGCGGCTGGTGTATGGAGGCACTGAGCGCAGCTTCTGTCAATAAAAAAACTTTGTTGCTGCTGAGGTACAGGTGAGTCACATCAAGATAGCATGTGAACGGCTTTGTCAGGCAATGCACTCCATTTCTTTTGGCAAAACCACAACGTAAAGACTACGTTAACCGTTAGCTACTGAATGCTAGAGAAAGGGCTGGTCTTTGCTGAAGTAGGAAGGAAGACCGTAGGGTACAAGTTTTCATCAGACAAACCTTTCAAGTCTACCACCGGCTGCTGCAAAATCAGCTTGAAGGTGCTGGCAAGGGCTAGTTGCATATATTTTAATGTAAAATACTCCGAAGGACTCTAACGACCTCAATTCAATGCAGCCCAAAGTCTTTAATCTTCTAGCCATATGCATTGGTGAGGTTTCAATCGGCACACCGCAGATGTGAGCACTTCTTAGAGCTTTTTAGCAGTTCAGCCTTCGATCACACCGTTTCCGGCTCCCATGGCTCCGCTTGGTCTGGTTGCTGAACCTGATGAGGTGTGCGGTTATGTGATTGATACGGGATCTATGAAGGTCGCCAGTGCAAAGATCTAACGAATCTGTTTGACACGGGTGACAGGGTCGAATGTAACTCAGGTCACAGGTCCGTTTGAGAGGTCCAATTGATAGCGCCAAGTCCGAAGGGTTTGAAGACTGGGCAATACAGTCTTCATGACCGTTGGAGATTGTTTGAGCTGCAGGACTTGGTCGAGGTGTGTGTGGTCGCGTTGAGTGGACAAGACATCATCAAGCTTCTTGGACATGTTTCCCCGAGTCCGGCCAGCAAAATGTGTGCGCAGAGTAGAGGGCCCGCTGGCGGTGATGGCCCTCTGATCAAAGGAAGTTTAGAGTACGAAACTTCCGTGTTACGGACATTCAAGAACTGTTCATACACCACTCATCAATACACCACTCATCAATACACCACTCATCATACACGACTCATCAGACACCACTTATCATACACCACTCATCAATACACCACTCATCAATACACCACTCATCAATACACCACTCATCAATGCACCACTCATCATACACGACTCATCAGACACCACTTATCATACACCACTCATCAATACACCACTCATCAATACACCACTCATCACACCACTCATCATACACCACTCATCATACACCACTCATCATACACCACTCATCATACACCACTCATCATACACCACTCATAATACACCACTCATCACCCAGTTAGCTCTAGTTTCAAGAGCTCTAGCTCCAGTTAGCTCTAGTTGCAAGAGCTCTAGCTCCAGGTAGCTCTAGTTTCAATAGCTCTAGCTCCACGTAGCTCTAGTTTCAAGAGCTCTAGCTCCAGTTAGCTCTAGTTTCAATAGCTCTAGCTCCAGTTTGCGTGGCAGGCACAGCACTTTGTGAACCTCCATGTGCAGAGTTCGTGGCAGGCACAGCACTTTGTGAACCTCCATGTGCAGATTTCGTGGCAGGCGCAATACAAAATGCGTTCTCGAGAGATAGCGGACGCACGAAATGCTGCGTTTTTCAATAGAAGGGGTGGCTCCGAAGCTGGCAAGTCTAGCTTTGCGGAACGCTGTGTGCGAGACGGTCTCGGGTCATGGTCGGATCATGGTCGGATCATGGTGGATCATTCTCGGAATCGTCCCTCCATTGTGATTAGAGTTTTCAC